ATATATTGAAATACCAATTGTCAAAGATTGAAAAGTTTCAGACAAAAAAAGATAGATGAGCACCTTTTTCAGTAGCAGAGAGTCAATGCCAAATCCAACTTTTAGGATAAGGGGCAATGGTTTGTAACCAGAAATTGGAGAATTCTATACCACTGGGTGAAAGTAAAATGACAGTAATGTTGTATTTAAAAAAATCATGAAGTCACTTACTAAGCAAAGCAAACAAATAGCAAATATTTAAATGATTTAAATGTCACACTCTTCCAGTCTTCTAATCTTCCACATCTATCATATAGCTTGCATTAGCCAAAACTAAGATGATGCCCAAGAGAATATAAGTCAGGTTAGTGTTATATTCTGTTCAGCTCATGACAGTTTCCAGAATAGAGGAAGATGTGATAAATATCAATGAGTATGTAATATATTCAGCATAACGGGACTTTCATAATATAATAAAATTCATCTTACAAAATGAAATAATGAAAAATCAGTAATAGAATGCATAATAGGTTTTAAAATCCTAGCAAGGGTTAAATGAAAAAAATAATGTTTTCATAAGTCAACATTAGAACATTTATTTTTCTCTTCTATTCAGTGTAAAGACCAAATTTTAGGCAGCATAATAAATTATAGGGTTATAACATAAGAGAGAAGTTTTATTGAGCTTCAGTCCTATTGCAACAACAATTCTCACACACACACAGGAAACAATTTACTGAGCACTATATCCTTACAAAAAATATAGGAAAAAGTTTAACAAGTTTCATAGTATAGTCTACCATAATGACAAAAACTACCATTCTAAGGAAACTGAAATAGAGTACTTTATATTTGCAACCTCAGACATTTTGATATGTACCAGAGATAAATTATGTAGAATGGATAAACTGTATACTCCAAAGGTTATATCAAAAAAGTTGTAATTTCAGCAAAGCGCCAAGGACTTGGTACTTACATTTCTTGATAGGTACTAAGAGTGCAGCTAAACTACATTGTGGGTCACATTAAAGACCATGTGATATTTCTTGTAATTCTCTCGCCACCTATGTTCCCTTTCATTCTTCATGAACCCTCTCTTTTTGCCTTGCTCTTAAAACTTAGTGTTATCCTGGGATTGTATCCCTTTCATTTCTCTTTTCAATGTATGCACACCACATATGAACAGTATAATCCATTATCATATTTTCAACTTTCACAGTGATAATGATTCCCAAATGCTTGCCACCTGCTCTAATTTTTCTCCTGAGCTTCAGACCCTAAAGTTCCCTTTACTGACTGGCCACCATTATTTGGTCATCCCAGGGTTATTTTAAACTTTATTAAGCAGTTTTCACAGTCTTCAAAAGTCTGCTTTTTAAATTGCCGCCCTATGAGCAGTCTTCAAACTTGTGACATTCTTTCTACCTTATTAAGGTCATCCCTTTGTACTTAATTCTCAGAGCACATCGGGCCTACTTCCCAGGACCCTCTCCCCAATATTATAAATATTGACTCTGAAATTAGATAAAACAGAAGACTATTTTTTTCTTGGGGGAGAGGGGTTAACAAACAAGACTAATAGTTTAATCTTCTGAGTTCTACTTCTAAGGACACTAATAAGTCTGGTAAGGCATTCTTTCTCATATTCATGCATATCTTGTCTGCATTTATTTTTTGGTTTGCGTATTTTAGGCTATACTCAGTGGTGCTCAGGATTTACTCTTGGTTCTGTGCTCAGAACCAAGATGACTACTGGTGGTGGTCAGAGCACCATGTAGGGTCCTGGGTTTGGAATGTGGGTTGGCGGTGTGTAGGGTAAGTATGTTGCCCACAACATGATTGCTTCAACCACATTATTTCCCATGTAAATTATAGTCAAAAAATTATTTAATTTTCATATATTTACTTAATAACTCAGAAACAACCATTTGGATTTAAATAGCATTGTAAGTGTTTGGTTTTGCCAGAAAATAAGTTATGACGCATTTTGAGTTAATTTTTGTAAGGGACATCAGAAGTATACCAACAGCCATTTTTTTTTCTTTTTTTTATTAGTGAAACACCATGAGGTACAGTTATAGGCTTACAAATTTTGTGCTTGGGTTTCAGTTATACAATGATCAAGTGCCCATCCCTCCACCAGTGCCCGTCATCCATCACCACGGGTCCCAGCATCCCCCCCCCATCCCTCCTTTCCCGTCCCATCCTGCCTCTGTGGCAGGGTATTCCCCCTTGTTCTCTCTCTCTTCTTTTGGGTACTGTGTTTTGCAAGAGAGGCATTGAGTGGCAATCATGTTTGGTCTATAGACTACTTTTAGCATGCTTCTCCCACCCTGGGAGGGTCCTCACAACACCCAACAGCCATTTTTGTATGTCCAAAATACATCACCTAATCTGCTAGAACAAAATTGGTGCATGTTTTGATTTTGATCCATAAGTACAACAGACAGGTACTTGCCTTAACTCAGGTTTATTCTTGGACCGCATATGATCCCAGGAGCACAGCCAGAAGTGGTCCATAAGACAGATCCAGGAGTAAGCTCTGAGCATATATACTTCATTTAGATTTTTCTCCTCTGAGTTTTTATTAAATTATAGTAAATGTACTTTTCTCATTCCATTTTTTTCACGATTATATATGTTTTCCTACTTGTAATATTAACTGTTATTTAATGTGAATTAACAATATGTCCTTTCCTTAGTGACTGATTTTCCAGATTTATAGAAATTCTATAGTAAACTACTGATAAGAATTGATGCTTAAGCAATTTATTTTTATTAACTGTAATAGAATTGTGTGATTTGCCACAGGCTTTCCTTGACCATATCATGCTGTGCTTTCATTTCTTTGAGCATTATGAAAATGTAAATATTAATATATTCTTTTTAAATGGTATTTGACTCCTTAATTTTGTTTTCTCTGAGACATGGTCTTTTTGGGGGGCAGATTCCACAGTGGTCCTTGGAGGCTTGGAGGTTAATCCCAAGTAGCCCTTCAGTACTAGCCTGAGTCTCTGTATTCAGCTCTGCTATGCAGGACTCAATCATACTGGAAGAACTAGGTTTCTTGGTGCAAGGCATGAGCAAGTGTGATGCTAGGAGCAAACCCAGGCTCTCTGTCGTGCTAAGCAGGTACTCCAACCATCTGAACTCTCTCCCTGGCTCAAACTAAGCCTCTTTCATAAGAGAACAAGTAGCACATGAAATCAAAGACAATTATTAAAAAATAAATAAATAAATAAATAAATAAATAAATAAATAAATAAATAAATGGATGGGGCCAGAGAGTTAGTACAGTACTTTACCCACAAAGGGTAAGGTACTCAACCCCTTTAGGAATGATCCCTGAGCAAACCCATCTCATTATTCGTCGATTTGCTCGAGTGGGTACCAGTAACGTCTGTATTCATCCTAGCCCTGAGATTTTAGTGGCGTCTCCTTACTCGTCCTCCCCAAATATGCCACATTGGAGGCTCTTTCAGGGTCAGGGGAATGAGACACATCATTGGTACTGTTTTTGGTGTATCAAATATGCCATAGGAGCTTGCCAGGCTCTGCCATGAGGGCAGGTAGATACTCTCGGTAGCCGGACGGTTCTCTGAGAAGGAGAACTAGTGTATAAGAGGTCATGTGGATGCATATATATATATATACACAAATATATATATATACATATATATATAAAAGGAGATCATTGCTTGTATATCATATCTTTTCTATTTAGACCATATTTGGGTGCATTGATTTGTCATAAAGACCTAAAAGCAAAATATTATTTTCTAACATATATCTATCACATTTATAAGATACCTAAGAGCATATTTAATCTTGGAAAAAAATCAAATATTTTTTCTTTCCTCAAATGAACAGTTATTGATGTGCTCAATAAATATAAAGCCTGGTTTGTCACATTTGGGGAGCATATTTTTACTCATTATCTAGTCTCAAAAGATGCTGCTCTTCTATGTACGACGGGAAAGATGTTATTTTAATAGTGTTTTTGGAAGAGAGCAGCTGTAGTTCTGAATCACTCAGATCAAGTTTTCTGTTCATTTAAGCATGTTCAGTGCAGACACCAGAAGGCAATGTTGAGCCTCAGTTAAAGAATTCCTTAAAAACATTTGATTTTATTTCTTTTTCAATTTTTTTCTAATATAAGGCCATCTCCCACTGTCACATTCTCATGCCACAGTTTAATGAACCAGGATAACTTCTGAAAGGAGGCAGAGGGAGGATTTTACTTTTCCATGGTAAATGCTATTCTAAATTTGTGCATTATGTTCATAAATATTAAAACATCAAAAGTATGTGGCAGATCATAGTATCACTTGTATTCTTGACATCCATCATCATTAAATGGAAAAGAGGCAAATATTGCTTTCTTCCTAATGCTTCCCAAGATTAACATGAAAGGAAGGTAACAAAGAGATTTTTTTTAAATAAATATGAGTGTTTCTAACTATAGCAAATCTAATACCTGGTAAGCTGTGACATTCATGAGCATTAATTTCCTTAAAATTTACCTAAAAAATTAAGAGAAAATGGTCATAATTTTTGGTCATGTCCCAAAGATTTTTCCAGTGACGTGGAAGGGATAAAGCAGTTTTGAAAACAGTAGATGAGTCTAAGAAGTAGCAAAACATATATGATTATCAGATATATATCTATAATGTAGATATGTATCTGATGATATCAGATATATTTTCTGATAATATATATATAATAAGAAACTATTGAAAAATTAACAACTTTATTTTTCAACTTCTGGAAATTATTTGGAGAAACAATTGGTTAATTACCATTATGCCATTATGCGGCCCTTTAGAAATATCTCCCCAATCATCACATACCTTAAAATTTTTGTTAACTTATTTATTTTTATTTAAGCTATTTTTGAATTATAACTAATGTAATATGATTATAGAAGTAATAATGACTATGGGATTAAGGTAAAATGATACTAACCACACCACATATAAAGTATCTAAGACCCTCCACCACTGTTTCTTTTGCCCTTTCCTCAGGGATAAATTACAAATTCAGTTCCCCACTACCACAAGTTATACAGTCAAATTTACCACGTTTGGGAAAAATCACAGGGAGCAGCACTTCTGGGGTGGAATTCATGAATCTCACTCTTGGAAAACCACCTTTGTGATCCTGGTCTCTCCCGTGCCATGTAAATATTACCCCTCCTGCTATCTGCCATCTCAAGTTGGATTTTCATTCCCTCCCTCCTCCACATGTTCCTCTTTAACAAATTTTATAATCACAGGCCAAGGGTCTGCCATTTTTCATGATACTATTTCCTTCTTTACATTTCTTTATATTTCTTTCTTATTTATTTATATTTCAGCAGATGAGTGAGATTATCTGGATTTTGGCTTCTCTCTGACATACTTAGCTTAATACCTTTTAGGTCCATCCACGTAGCTGCAAATTACATGATTTTATTTTTTCTTAGTGTAGCATTTCATTTACTTATAAATAATGACAGTATTGGCATTTGCCTTGCACATAGCAGACCTGGCTTTGATCTTAGAACCTCATATGGTCCCTTAAAACTTCCAGGAGTGATCACTGAGTGCAGAGCCAGGAGTGAGCCCTGAGCACTGCCGGGTGGACCCCTAAACAAAATGGCAACAACAAATAACTGACTAACCGTCAATCACTGTGGCATATCATGATAGCCTCTGTCATCTTGAATTCAGACTTCCATGTGAGGGTATAATAGTAAGAAAATATGCCACAAAAATTAAGTTGGGCCAGAGTTATTGTATAGGAAGCAAGGCACTTTTCTTGCATGTAGCAGACCCTGGGTAGATACAGGTCTCACACTGCGTATGATTCCTTAAGTATTGCAAGGATTCACCGTTGAAAACTGAAAGCAGAGTTAGAAATAGCACCCAAGCATGCTGGAGGTGGCTTACTCCATTTGCCCCTCTGTGCTGGCCCCAAATAAATGTAATTGAATTAACTATAATTAAAAAGATCACAAGAATTTTTTCTAGGTGTTAACTTTCTTCAGTTCCTTTTCTAATTATAGTATAAAACTATATATATATAGATAGATAGATAAATAGATAGATAAATATATGTGATCTTTTATATATATGAAATTTTGTTTATATACATATATATATGGGCTGGAGTGATAGCACACTGGGCAGGGTGTCATGCGGCCAACCCCAGTTCAATTCCTCCATCCCTCTCGGAGATTCCGCAAGCTACTGAGAGTAGCCCGCCTGCACAGCAGAGTCTGGCAAGCTTCCAGAAGCATATTCAATATGCCAAAAATAGTAACAAGAAGTCTCACAATGGAGACGTTACTGGTGCCCGCTTGAGCAAATTGGTGAATAATGGGTGGACAGCCCTAGAGTGCTACATACATATATATTTTTTTCATATGCATATCCTATAGAATAGCGATAGCACAGCGGTAGGGCGTTCGCCTTACAAGCGGCCAACATGGCCGACCCGAGTTCGATTCCTCCGCCCCTCTCGGAGAGCCCGGCAAGCTACCGAGAGTATTCGATATGCCAGACACAGTAACAACAAAGTCTCCAATGGAGACGTTACTGGGCCCGCTCGAGCAAATCGACGATCAACGGGAGGGCCTTTACCTTTTATCCTATAGAATAACAATATCCTAATAATCTGATTTATTAAATAATTCTTCAGTGCAGAATTAAATCCCATAGAAGTACAGATTCCTGCTGGAGAAAACATTACAATGTATACTCTAAATAAAATAAATAATAAAGGCCCTCCCGTTGATCGTCGATTTGCTCGAGCGGGCCCAGTAACGTCTCCATTGGAGACTTTGTTGTTACTGTGTCTGGCATATCCAATACTCTCGGTAGCTTGCCGGGCTCTCCGAGAGGGGCGGAGGAATCGAACTCGGGTCGGCCATGTTGGCCGCTTGTAAGGCGAACGCCCTACCCGCTGTGCTATCGCTCCAGCCCTAGTATACTGATAATAGTTTAAGACAAAATCAAGGTTAATTAAAAAAATATCCTATTAAAAGACTTGAAGAAAAAATGAGTCCTACCAATTAATATTTGTACCTCATCAATTGCATTCATATTACTTACGTAGCAGTAGTAATATGGCCTGGAAGAAATAAAGAGAGATGAAAGTACAACAATCCAGTTAAAGTTCTAAGAGTTTAGTCATGATACTAGTTTTATTTAGTAATATTACATCATCACTAAATTGTCAGTCTGTTTCATAGTCTAAGGGCATAGATTTTTCTAGTCACACATATATTTGATCTTCGCTCTACCTCATACGACCACTGGAACTTTGAGTACACTACTATAATGAAAGTGATCAGTTAGTAATTTAAAGCAATATTAGAGTTTAAAATTAAAATGTCTCATAATAGCTCCAGATAAATGAATTAGTGAGTAGCAAAAAAAAAGAGCATAATATATGCTAAATGTAAAATGCATTTTTCTAGGTAATTTCCATCAAAATGATACAATTGAATGGATGCAGTACTAGTTGAACTTGTCATTTTTCTCTTCTTAGACACCACAAATGTTTGCTTTCATGGTAGATATAAAAAAGATAGCAAATGCCTTAGGAATCCTCAGGAATCAATGGCTTTTTTGTTATATTGATGGTTAACTAGAAAGAGGAGTTTGATGGACTGTAGTATACAGCACACTTTTTAGATGTGTTGCAGATTTATCAACCAATGACAAGACTGCAGATCACCCCACCATTAGTAATGTCAAGTTGTATTCACTTCACTACTTCTATCATAACTCTGAATATTCATGTTTTTTCTGTGTCTATTTTGTTTGCAAGCCTGATAGATGAAAACCCTATGCCCATTATTATAATTTAAATTTTCAACAGCAAAAATATTGGAGCTTTTTCAGAAAGTAATATTTGAAACGATGAGACATATTAAAATTAGCATGTTGTTGTTGTATTCTATGTTGAGAGTGTTCAAAATGCATTTCTTATGTTGCATTACTTGATTGCTAGCCTTAAAAATTAATTACTTTTTGTTTATACTTTCTCTACTTCTTCGATTACAATAAATCGTGCCATTCAAGCAAGTTCTTACAGAGACTTAATTGCTTCTTTGAAAGGTTTGGCAGATACATCAAGCCAGTTCATTAATGCACAGATGATTCCTTCACATTAAAAAGACACATTGAACACCACAAATGTCAAGTCAGTTATAACCCACAAAAAGCAGAAAATGGCAACCATCAAAAGGTGAGCCCTTATTCAGTCAGGACCAAAAATAAAGTTGCAGTAATTCCTTAGTGTAATAATGGAGAACTATTAGATTATTTTAAGGTCATGGAAGGAGTAGCTTTCATTTGTCAACTACTTTTCTTTTTGAAGATTTTTTTTCTCTGCTCCATCCATTTTATTCATGAAGTATGGGGAAAAAAAATCAGTATGTTTCAAGACTACAGTCACTTGCTTGGATTTTTCCCTAAAACATTTTATTTCAATAAGCATTAATTCTACGAAGATGCAAATATACTCTCTGTCATTATTTAATTTTTATAAGCATTGGGGATATAGATGTTGAACATTTTAAAACTAGATCAAATACACTGATTGCAATGTATAAAGAATAAATGGTTTATGGCAAAAGAATAGTTTGGGAAATCCAGAATTGCTGCCAGTTCTGACATTATCTGATACGCATCAGTATTTTTATAATAATCATAGGAAAATATCTCAATTTTTTCAATTATTGAAAAAATTTTAAATGATGTTATAATATATGGATAAAATGTTAGAGTGGTTAATTTATATTTATATTTACCTAGATGATCTGCATAGCAAATAATCTAGGATTGTAGCACTGTAGTGCTATCCTCCCACTGTCCATTGCTTTGCTCCAGTGGGCACCAGTAACATCTCCATTGTGAAACTTGTTGTTACTGTTTTAAAATACAGGATTACAGATTAAAAATTAATAGAACATACACTCTAGTAAGGTAGTTGTAAAATATAGACAATTTATGTTTCCCCATGGCCATGCCATCATTTAATTTGTAGTGAATATACTAGATAGAACCTAATCAAGGTGTCTGTATTACTTTACATCTAATTATGCACATGGATCAGAAAAGGTAAACATTCTATGTTTTGCAAAGATTATATTATAGTGAAAGAGGAAACAAGCAACATAAATATGTAAACTGTGGCAAATTAGGAAATGCATTAATCACTGTTGTTAATCGATTTCCGAGCAGGCACCAGTAACGTCTTCTTCATCCTAGCCCTGTGATTTTAGAAAGCCACATTCAAGGCTCCTTCAAGGTAAGGAGAATGAGACCCATCATTGTTACTGGTTTTTGGCATATTGAATACGCCATGTGGAGTTTGCCAGACTCTGCCATGTGGCAGGATATTTTTGCTACTCTGACAGGCTCTCCAGAGTAAGAACTAAATAATAAGATGTCGTGTGGCCGCATTTGCGGCCTCACGCTTCCAAGGACTGGGTTTTACAGTCGGTGGGTCTTGACCATTGATGGGATTACACGGCCCAGGGGGCAGTTGGGGGGTGTAACGCCTACATACAGGAAGATAGAGGGTCTGGGTTGAGGAGGCCCAGTCCCAATCTGAGCAGGGTTGGAGATCTAAGCCCCGGGTCCCACACACCTGGGTTCCTCTGCCAGTTCCTTCATGTGTGAGGCTTGTCCGAACATGTGGAGAGTGGTCTTAAGCATGACTGTGGCTAGAATTGGAGGTCTTCAGTTGTCGGGGATCTGCTTGGGGTGGGGAAGGAAACTCAACCCACCCTCCTCCAAGGGGCCCTGGTGAGGACAGCCAGTTGTAGAGGCAGGAGACTCTGCACTGTTCTCTTCCAGGAGCTGGGTTTTATAGGAAATGCATTATTAGGGAAAATAAAAAGTAAAGTAGGAAATAACTTGAGATGGAGCAGCTGTAAATTGAGTTGTGTAGAATGAACTCCACAAAATTTTTATTTTTCAGCAGAATCATAAGTCTCTTATGGAAAATTATTCCTGTCATTAGGTTGAGTGCATGCAAGCACCTCGAGGCCTTACAATTCTTGCATATTTTCTCTGAAAATAAAAATTAAATATTGTCTATAATAGAATTATTGTTTTGTTTAAAATTAGACTGTCACAGGAAAAAGATCATGGGAAATAAATTTGTTTTCATTAATCTTGCATCTTGTTATC